TCACATGGAAATGAGTCTCTTCACTCTATTTCCCAGAATCCACCCCGACTCCTACTTCCACCTATCTTGTTTCCCTATTGTCCATCAGTGATTTATTGAAATATACACAGAACTTCCACCATCATCTCCTCTTTTCTGTCTAAATAAAAAGAAAGGCTTAAACTTTAACACAGTTGAATTATATATAACAGAACAATTACCAAGCAAGAACTATAGTTACAATATTTTGTTCATTAACATTTAATAACATTTAAAGAAAATATCATCTATCCTATCTTTGTGAGTCTAAAGTCTTATGTGTAACTTATTTTTAATCCTAATTAAGGATAACTATGATTACAACTATCTGTCTTCAACTCCATCAAAAACCACAGTAGGATAATATATAAGCACTAGAACCTCGCTACCTGAAAAGTCACCCAAAGTTCCTCTCTAATGTTGGGCATCCATCTTCAGCCCATAGGCCACAATGTGCCTGGAAGACTTCTCAGCCAAGCAGGAAATTTCAAATTGTCCATCTGCATCGGCAGTCTATCAGTCATTTTTCTGTGTCCTGCGGAAAGTCTGGTAGACTCTTCCATGAAGCAGGAACTCTGATTTCTGCCATCAATGACCCAGTAATGGAAAGACATGAATTAATATTAAAATAAACATATGTAAGCCAGGAATGGTGGCACACACCTCAAATCTAAGCACTTGGATGGCAGAAGAAGGTAGATTTCTCTGAGTAAGAGGCCAGCATGGACTACACAGTGAATTACAGGACAGCAAGGGCTATGTAGAGAGACCCTGTCTCAAAACAACAATGACAATAAAAAGTAAATATACTTACATAATCCTCCTGTGAAGTTTTGCATTTTCATTAAAATTTAGAAATGTCATTTTTAGAGCAGATTATATTATTAATTTGAACTCTTTAACTTACTATGAGTACAAATCATGATAAATATGTAAGTTGAAAATAGCTAAGGTTGAAAATATTCTTGGTTTACCTAGCACATGAACATCATCTTTTAGTGACACAATACACAATAGAGTGTTGCTTTCTTACTTTTCTGATCATGTGGCTATCTGGAAGTATTCCATTGCTTATCGTCACCCCAGACAGATAAAAAAGGAAAGTCTGGTTTACATAAAATGTGAACTGTTTCAAACTCATCAAGTTTAAGAATCATAAATCAAACTTTTGTTAAGTCACGGACAATCTGTATATTGCTTTTTACTTGTAATATTGTTCTAAGTAGTTTTACTTCATAGATAGCAATAATGATTAAGGAAATACAATATTGCCTTGAGTGATTCTCAAGATTTTGGAAATTAAGAAAATGCATTGGTTTCTTTTTCTTTTCTAGAAACATTTTTCACACATTATATTTTTGCAATGTTTTTCTCCTCCTCCAACTTCTCCCAGATTCTTCCTACTTCCCTACCCACCCAACTTTATGTCACCCCTCAAAAATACCAATCCAAAAGAACAAAACTAAAAGTAAGCAAAAACCCATGGAAAAGTATATAAGCCTACAGAGCAACATGGAGTTCATTTTGTGTTATTCTACTACTCCTGACCTGGGGTGTGAATTAGAATGTGGTTGATATGAACAGTGATGCCCCATTAGAGACAACTGATTTTCCCTTTCTCATTAGGTATCAATTTCAAAAAGCTTCTCAGTCAGCACTGGGACTTTGTGTCTACTTCTTGTTCTCAGTACAGGGATTTTGTTAGGTTTTCCCTTAGGCCATGACCTATCCAATATCTGGTTCCATCTTATAGAGCAGTCCTTAAATCCTACCAAAAAGGGGTTGGCTAATTCACATAACATTTTTTCCCACTAGTACTAGTATATCTTGTAAGGAGTTCAATGCTGTAGACTGTAGGACTTGTAGCTGGGTGATACTGATAATTATGTTTACCCTCCAGTGGTGTGCAAGTACCTTTTAGCACTAGGAGTGTTAGTCATTAGGAGTGAAGCTTCTACATGGACACCTGCTCCATTTCCACGTTTGATGACATAAGCAAATGGCCTCTTCAGCAATAGGACCTGACTGTTAGGAGACAGAGAGAGTAACCAAATGCCTTGGCAATGTATTGTGACATTTGGGATGAGGCAATTCGACTCCTTAAGACAACAACTCAAAAAATTCTGGCTTTGAGATTTTACCTGGTGTTGTAAGATGTCTACATTGGGCATTCTCTCCCCCATTGTATGATGACTCCATTTAAATTCCCTTCATATATAAGTTTCAGGAAACTTTTATAGTAGTAGGTTCCCATGTGTTTCCATAAAACCCTTTAGTGTTATTTGTCCCACCTCACGTTTCCTTTGTCGCCATGTTCTTCCTCTCCGCTTTCCATTTAATCCTCTGGTCTAGTTTCTCCTTCTTTAAAAATGATGCCATGTTTTATTTTCCCTTCCTCATAGAAGCTCTTCTTTTCTCCTGACCTTATTAGGTACCTAACCCTGTTGTTATTCATATTGAATCACAAAATAGAAACCTTAAAAGCTAGCACACACACACACACACACACACACACATAAGGGAGAACAGGCAATATTTGCCTTTTGGGTCTGTATTACTTTACTAAATGATGATTTTTCTGGCCCCATATAGCTACCTGCAAATTTCATAACTTATTTTTCTTAACAGCTGAAAATTATCCCATTGTATGTTGGTGAGAGAGGGTATTAAAGACACATACTATCACTCTGTTAAGATAAATACATGATTTTAATTGTAGTAGCATTTCTTTTTGAACTATGCTTCTCTTGTGTTTGGTGCATGCATGTTTAGAATTGTAATATACTCGTAATAGAGTTTTCTTTAATGAATATATAGTCCTTCCCTATCTCTTCTGGTTAGTTTTGATTTGAAGTCTGTTTCATCATACATTAACATAGTTATGGCTGCCCATTTCTTAGAATTGCTTGGCATCCCCTTTTCCACCCTTTAATACTAAAATATTGTCTGTCCTTGATGATGATATATGTATTTTGGATGCACCCAATAGATGGATCCTATTTTCTAATCCAGTCTGTTAGCTTGTGTCTTTTAATGGAGGAATTGAGATTATTAATATTGAGCGTAATTAATGAGCAGTGTTTTTGGTGTTTTTTATTTCTGCTATTTTGTTCTGATGTGGGTTTCCCACTCCCTCTTGATTTACTCTTCTATTATTTATTCTTTGTATCATGCTGGGTATACTTAACCTCTTCAGACCTATGTTTTCCTTCTAGTGTCTTTTGGTTGACAGAAATTGCATTAAATGTGGTTTTGTCACATAATTTCTCCATTGATTGTGATTGATAGTTTTGCTAGGTATAATAATCTGGGCTGGTAGTTTTGGTCTCTCAGAGCTTGTAGAACATCTGTCCAGTCCTTTTCCACTTAAATATTTTCCTCGGAAAAAGCCAAGTGTTATTCTAATGTACCTGCCTTTTAAGTAATTTGCTGTTTTTCCTTTGGTGCTTTTAATATCCTTTCTTTGTTTATACATTTGGTGTTTTGCTTATTATGTGTCATGGGGAATTTCTTTTGTGCTCCTGCCTATTTGGTGTTCTGTATATCTCTTGCATATTGATAGACATCTGTTCCTTTACATTGAGGAAATTTTTTATTATGATTTTGCTAAAATATTTTCTGTATCTTTGATCTGGGTTTTTATATTTTATTTCTATATACAGTGTTCAAAGTTCTGGTATTCTTGTAGTGTCCCAGATTTATTGATATTTTGTGCCTGGATATTTTTTAGGTTAACTGATTCTTTGACTGGAACCATTGATTACTTCTGTCTTGTTTTAAGACCTGAAATCCCCTCTTTAATTCTTTTAATCTATTGGTGAGATGTACCTCTGAGGTTTTTCTTGTTTGGCATCTTAAATTTTTCATTTTCAGTTTGGATTTCCTTGTTAAAGTTTACTTCCACATCTTCTCTTGTTTTCATTATTTGTTTCAATTGTTAGCCCATGTTTTTATGGTCTTTATTAAGGCTTGTATTCATATCCTTCTTAAGGCTTTTTAACACGTTCTGTATTTTACTTTTAAAATTTTTATTTGGATAATGTGCATAGGGAAAATTATACAGAAGTATAAATATCTGGGTAAAATGAACACACACAAGTCAAAGCACAAAATTAAACATATTCTTAATGGCTATCCTTGTTGTGTTTTAGCTAAATTGCTTTTCTCAGGGAGTGTTACAGTAGGGTTGCTAGGATTACCTTCTGGAGGAGGAATATTGTCTTGATTGTTCAGATTTGTGTTGGAATCTGGAGTTATGACATTTGAAGTGTTTCTTGGTGTAGATATCTGGTTTCATTTTTACTGGGTGGGTATTCTGTTCATTTTTGCTGTTGTGCACTATGGGTCCTAGCCAAGTATGGTGGATATTTGGTTCCTGGTAGAGAATGTTTCTGTGGGTCAGTGGATGTCACATAAAATGGATATAGGCTATTAGGAAATGTTGAAAGGGAAAATGGTAAAGTACTAAGGGGACCATAGGTCTGAACCAAAAGACATTGTCCCTTGGTGGTGGAGGACTGGGAGAAGGCAATCCTGTGGAAAGTCTGCAGCAGGACTAGTAGTATGATAAAGACTTTCTTCATATCTTCTTTCTTGCTGTCTTGCCAGGGGTCAAAGAAGAAAATCAAGGCAATCAGGATATGGACCATTGTATGCTGCCAGCTATAGAGTAATTTATACTGAATTCTAGAGTAATTTATGCTGAGTATACATGTTTTTTCACCAATTGAAAATGCTATGATGTAATGTGCTTTTAAGTAATTGTGTGTGTATGTGTGTGTGTGTAAGAGAGAGAGAGAGAGAGAGAGAGAGAGAGAGAGAGAGAGAGAGAGAGAGAGAGAGAGAGAGAGAGAGAGAGAGAGAGAGGAGGGGGTCAGGGAGGAGAGAGAGGTCTGGGAAATAGGAAAGAAGAAAGTAGAAAAGAGCATGAAATAAAAAATGAAAAACATACTAACATGATAATTCTTCTGGTTTGCTTCCAGAACAACTACAGAGGCTATGGTTGGCAGTCACGTCCAAGGATTTCTCATGAGTAGTAGGTAAGTACAACTGATTTTTTATTCAACTGGTATGAATCAAACCACAAAAAGTGAGAGGGGTTAGTACAATGTAAGTAAAAGACTGCACAATTCTCAATCCTAAGGAAGCAAATGTGCTACACCTGCTACCAGGGTATGGCAGGAGAGGAGTGGAAAGATTGTAGGGGCCAGAGACAGTGGGTGACTGAAAGAAACCATCTCCTCATTACAGCAGATCTGCTGCACATTTATGTTTACAGCTGTCATGGTTAAATGCACACCACCTGTGCAAGCCCAAGCCAGAACAAACCCCAGCACGGAGGGGGAGCTGGGACTACAATCCTGCCCTCAGACACGGAGCAATTGGCAAGTGTTACTTGTTTAGAAGGAATGGTTTTCTCTGAGAGAATAGTCTTTGGTAAGCTGACTGCTCCGTAGTGGAAGATCATGAATCCCCACCACCCCAAAATCCGGCCATCACAATTGGTCAGGATGGGTTAAAAAACAAAACAAAACACACCGAGTTAGGTGGATGGGAAATGGGGATTGAACCTGGGAAGAGTTGTAGCAGATGGGTGAATATGGCCATAATGCATTGTACAAACATTTTAATTAACTAACAGCAAAAATGATAAATGGAAAATTTGATACTTTAATGACATCGTGTAGAAGAAAACTTAATCTGTGGTGATATATTGCTTATGATCTATATAAAGTCACTGAAGATCAGAATGTAAAGCTAGCCACAGTCCTAGAAGCTGGGCAGTGGTGGCACACATCTTTAATCTCAGGACTCAGGGGTCAGAGGCAGATGGATCTCTGTGAGCCCAAGACTACCTTGGGCTATACAAGAGTGAGTCTTTCTAAAAGAATAACAAAGCTCACACCTTTAATCCCAGTGCTAGACAGGTATATAAGGAAGACGCAAAGGGTCTCATGTGATATTTAGTCTTAGGCATTTAGTCTCCAGAGGATTCATGAAACCAGGATGGCCTATTTAGTCTAAGGTAGAGGTAAGAGTTACTGTCTAGCTGCTTCACTTTTATGATCTTCAGCTTGAACCCCAATGTGTGTCTCTGGGTTTTATTTGTGTTACATTAATAAAATTGATGGGATGCAGAGGGTCGTTCAAGGGACCATCCAGAACTGGGTGGCAGGCATGATAAGAGGGAGAAATAGTCAGAAAACAAGTATCACAACTTTGTAATTAAACAAACAATCATTGCCAGGATGACTTTGCTAGTGAGTAAAAAGTTTACTGAGACACAGAGCCTCTCCACCCAGAAGATCCACAGGGAGGTGGGTGGTCAGTAACAGGATGTATTTTCCTTAAGTAAAAGGGGAAAAGAGGACTAAGGTCAAAGCATACTGAAGCCACAACTCATACCTACCATCAGTGGAGTTACGAAGAGAGGGTTAGAGGATCATTCAGGAAGATCAGAGAAGCTTCCTCACTTTAAGGTACCATTTTAAGGACATTTACATAGGCGTTGCAACATTCAGAAGAACTTAAAATATCCTAATATGAGAGTTAAAAATGTCTCAGAAGAACTTCCAGTAAGCATTCAAACTGCCAGGGGTGGACGTGGAGAATTGAGAAACACAAATAACACTCTAGTTCTACTGCAGTCATCGCACATGACGAGACGTATGAAAATATGACTCATCCAATGAAGACAGTAAGCAACAAAAAGGCAGGGCATCTTTCCTAACTGCATAAAGATCTCTACTACTGGACTCTCCCGTGTTGTTCTGAAATTCACTTTCGGAGCTTAAGTGTTGGCTTGAAAGACTGAAAGTTCAACCCTTTGCATACCTCATCTGTCCTATCATGCTGGTTTCTTTTTGTCACGAGCCAAAGAAAGTAACCAAGGATGAGTGAAGCACAAGAGGAAATTGAAAGGAAGGGACGGGAAAGCTCAGAGAAGAGCTGACATCATCCCCCTCATCTCCAGCTGTCAGGCTGCCAAGTCCAGGTTAAGTGTGAAAGGGAGGGCAGAAAAACAGAAGAACTTGGTTTTAATTTACCTTGTCAGAAATACAAATAGCTTATTAACAAGGTAGGAGTGGGCCAGAGGTGAGGAGAAAGCCATGGTGTTTGGTGTTGTTAAGACGAAATAAGGGATTATTTCCTCATAATTCATTATACAAGGGCACAATTTTAATTAAGCAGGATTATTGGAAACCTTTATTGCATTTACATTTTTATTAAATATGCCTTGGGTAACCTGTAGGAATATTTTGCATACATTGGCATAGATCTTTTTTGGTAGTATTTCAAAATTACTATGTGTAGATTTTCATTAGCTAAAGGCTTTAGAGTTAAATTTTATATGTAAAGACATGGGTTATATTTGAAGGAACAACTGACTTTTTAAATTGATACTTTGATGAAATAAAATCATGGACCAGAAAATATTATGAAGTAAAGATAAAGTGGACACACCTAAGAATGAAAAACTTAAGGATGTGTGGATTCTAATAATATGGTGTGTATGTGTGTGTGTGTGTGTGTGTGTAGCATTAGAGTGCATCTGCATGCATTTAGGTATTTGTGTGGGGTGTGCACATTTGTACATGAATATGAATATAGAGGTCAGAGGATGGATTTTTGTGTCTTCCTCTATAAATATCTATGTTTCTAAAAATTTGCTTTGAAGAAATTTCATATATAAGTAAAATGTTTTTGTTTCAAATTTCACTCCCTGACACCTTTCTCTCTCATTCCTTCTATACCCTCTCCACCACTTTTGTCTCCCAACTTCCCATATTCCTCTTGAAAGCCACCGAATCTTCTTAGTGCCTCCAGAACATGTATAGTTATATGGTCATCACTGAAACCTCGGTAGCTTGTCAAAAGCCACATCTGAAGAAGTTTGCCTCTCCCACCATCAGCAACCAGCCTCAGTTTCCTAAGGTCTTTCACTGAGTCTATAATTAATTGTTTTGGTTAGGGTAACCTGATATCTGCTTGTCTTCACCCTCCTCCCCTAGGGCTGATATTATAAGTACTGTACCTGGCTTTTATGTAGGTTCTGGAGATCCAAATCCAGCTGTTCCTGCTTGTGCAAAACACACTATGCTCTTTGGGCTGTCTCTCCAGCACTCTAGTTTCATTTTATATAATGTTTTAGCAAACCTATGAGATCATTTTCAAAAACCCCAAATTGTCTTGTCCTACTTATTTCCCTGTCCCCCCTCTTCTCTCCAATTCTCTATCCCACCTCCAACACTACACAAGCTTTTGAGACAAGAAGTTCAAATTGGCTTGAAACTCACTAAGTAATCAAGACTGCCCTCACTCATGGTTCTCACTCCTCAGTCCACACGTAATGGGATCACAGGCCTGAACTACTACAGTAATCTTAACCTTCTCTATCACCAATAATAATAATAATTACATCTTCATCTAGACTTGATCCAAATAGATGCTTTATTCTACTTTTTCATTGTTTCCCAAACCTCATTCCTTCTTTCTCTCTATGTATCTATCCATGTATGTATGCATGTATGTATGCATGTGTGTATGTATGTATGTATGTATGTATCTATCTATCTATCTGTCTGTCTGTCTGTCTGTCTGTCTGTCTAGTATCTAATCTATTTACCATGGTATGGGTGTGGAGGTCAGAGGGCAGCTTATGGGAGTAGTTTGTCTCTTTCCACTATGTGGGTTCCAGGCTTGGCCTTTTCTCACTGGACCATCTCACCTTCCCTACAATGACATTCTAATTTAACCCACACCATTATTCAGTGATGACTGCAAGTCTAGATGCAGGGCAATTTGCTCAAGACACTTGTGAGGAACAGAGTGGGCTAAAATTAAAGCGTTGTTTACTGAAACCGGTGAAGTATTATTTTATCAATCATTTATGGTAAGACAAAGGTGAAAAAAATCCCTTTTTAATGAAAGAAACTAGATGTAGACAAGTTTTAGATGTATAAATATAAATCTCATAGGAATAAAGGACTCCCAATTGAAGACTGCTGATAGTTGGAATTCTTTTCATCAAAGTATCTGCAGTATTCTATTTATTTTCCTCTATGGCATGAAGGAATACTTGGTGCTCTTTGGCATTTTGTATCTTATTCCCCATTGGCTTAAAAATATACGTTTTCCGAACTTGATGTCCCATCATCTCAATTAATATTAAAGTTGTAACTAAAACTCATGTAACAACCACCAGTTCTATTTTGCTATCATCTTAATGAGTGAAATACCCATTGTTTCCCCAGGAGAAAAGTGAGCATTTCCTTCTTCATATGTGTCCCTTATAAGACCCTTGAGCCCCTTATAAGTTCTTGCTCATCTCGACTCCTCATCATTCATTCACAACAGAACTAGTAAGCTCTTCAAAGTTTCTTGTGCATTTCCCCTCATCTCCTGAGCAAAGTGCTTCTGAGAGTCTTGGTTAATGTGTTCCATTTCTGTGATTTTTGGAACTGGTCTTACAATGTCAGCTTTTCCAAATAACCAGCCTCATTCTTTACACTTCATTTTAGTTGGGATTTAAAATTATTTCCTGGAGGCTGTCTCAGATATTTTCAGTTATCTGCCTTAAAATTAACAAGGGCCAACCTGTGCCCATACAGTAAATTCCTCTGTATTAAATTTGAGTCCTCTGCCTTGGTGCCCAACCACATAGCATAGAGTGTTCACAATATCCTTGTGCCTGTTTTGGGTGCTCCAGCCCAGAATAGATTATTATTATTAAGGCATGCCTCCTATTTGGGGCATGATCCTCACAATAACACAATACTTACCCTGGTTTGTTTATGTGGTATTATTTCACTGTGTATTTGTTGAACAAACAATAGTATTGAAAATATAGAAAATGTTGTCTGGAAATTTCCCAGTTTTCCTTTATGATTCTACTTCAGTAGAGTATCTTGAAAAGCAAAAACCAAATAAAAAGCTCATGGTTTCAAGGATGCTTTCTTGACAATGGCATAGGTGGGTCTTTGGAAAGAGGTGTGGTACTGTGATGTGAATAGAAGCACCTTCCCACTCCTACAATAGA